CCATTCGACAACGGTATTAACATTGACGTCAAAAAAGGAGTTAGGCAAGGTGATACTACCTCGCCAAAATTATTTACCGCCACCCTCCAAAACGTCATGCGAACATTGGAATGGGATAATATGGGAGTGAAAATCGACGGTCGGCAGTTACACCATCTTCGCTTTGCTGATGGCACCGTCCTTATAACACATTAGCCAAGCAAAACGCATGCTTGACGACTTTGATCAAACCTTTGGAAAAATTGGTCTTCGGCTAAATCTCACGAAAACGATGTTCATTAAGAACGGATTGGTTTCGCATGCCCCATTCACGCTCAACGGAACGAATATCTCCGAATGCTTCAGCTATATTTATTTAGGTCGGGAAATCAATATGATGAACGAACCAGCTCCAGAGCTGAGCAGAAGGAAACGAGCGGCTTGGGACGCTTTCATGAGCATCGGAGATGTAGTGAAGAGAACAAAAAACCCTCGACACCGTGCCCACCTTTCCGACTCAACGGTACTTCCTGCCTCAACGTATGCATCAGAAACATGGTCGCTGTGTAAGCAGGATGAAATATCACTCAGCGTTATCGAACGCGCAGTCGAAAGGACGATGCTAGGAGTATCCCGTTTCACACAAGTAAGGGAAGAAACCCGAAGCTCCGACCTGCATCAACGATCAAAAAACGGAGATGCCGTTCTGTACGCCAAACAGTCGAAGATAAGGTGGACCGGACACGTTATGCGCATAACTGACAACCGAAGGACAAGAGCCGTTAGTGACTGGATTCCTCGGGATATCAAACGTGCTGCAAGAAGACCATCGATCCGATGGTTAGAGTTCTTCACAAAAAGCCTTGAAGAAAGATATGATGCTCGACGATTCTCTAGAGCGAGCAGAACTCACCGGGCTACTCATGCGCGCGACAGGGATAAATGGAAGGTTTACTGGCGCCCGCTCGAGTAACTCGACGATCAACGGGACTACAGGTGACAGGTGATACCCTGGTTGAAAAATTGCAATAGGCATTTAATAAGAAAGTTAACATTAATGGACATTTGAATATTTCGGAAGGATTACCTTCGTCGTTCTTCGGAGCTTTAGGTTAACTTCCTTTTTCTTGCAATTGTACAATGTGCTTCAGTTTTTTCGATTTCCATGGAATGCCGAGCTTGAGCTATCTCAAGAACTCACTATGATAATCACGTCTTTGTGGATTAATGATAAGTCCGTCGTCTTACGAGTTATTTTTCAGGGATCGAGATGATTTCTGGAGAACGGCCACTCGATTGCCGAGAAGAAATTTCGGACACATTCTCAGCATTGGTTATGTTTTGCAGTAAGGTGAAGCTCTTCGTGCGCACTAAATATTATATAGGGAAAGAAATCTTGTGATTAAAGGAAGGCTCAGCCTGCACTGTTCGTGATTGAGGAGCCGTTAAATTTTCTGGTCGCTTTGCTTGCCGGTGTAATGTCAACACACTTGTCATCTGCATCGTTTTCCACCTCCATTGCTCACTTTCTTCTTTTACGCTACATTTCGAGCTTCCTTTTTTATTGAGGATATGTTTCAAAGCTTCGTTGAAGATGTTTGGTGCATTGCGATATTCTTGTGATATTTCTGCTCTAGGTGAATTCCTTCGATGAACATACAAAATCCAGTACGGATTTTTACGGACTCGAATAATTGTAATTAAGTTTTTTAAGCGTTTCAAAAACGCTGATGGAATCCTCCTTACTTGAACTGCTACGAATCTAGCTAATTTTGCCTCTTCTTGGTTCTTGGTAGGTATTAATTTTAGAGAGGTTAGAAATTCTTCGCGAACGCTTAGAGAAGCATACCAAAGCCAAGAGCTCTTAAAGAGTTGAGATTTTCGGAATATGCCTAATGAAATAGGCGAAGTATAGAAGTGATCTTCATGTCTTTGCAGTTACTTATACGTGTCCATATCGTAGCCAGACATTGTTTGATAGAACTGCGATTCTTAAAAAACGGGCTACATGGAAAATGCGCCATTCCACTTTGTCAAAATTCTCTTTAGCTTTTCACTTTTTTTTAGAAACAGATACATTCAGAAGGAGGTTAGGGGTTTCCCTAATGCGAATGGAAGTAGTTTTACAACATAATAGTTGAATCTCAATTTTCCCTAAAGATTAGGATAGCACTAATACCTAATACCCTTTATGTTCTAGTCAGATAGGAATTTTACACTAAAGAATCCTGACCACTTTGCAGGGCAAATTCATTTTAGAAGTCAAGTTTAATCATTGCACTCGCTATTTTTCAAGTGTTTCCAAGGGTACAACCTCACGCATTCTTCATAATCTGACACCAAGGTTGTTAGCACAGCATTTTTCCTTAATAGCCAGGTTTTAAGCTTTTGGAGCTTGCTGTTAGGGTTATGAAGATACTTGGCCGAGTAGACTGCGCATCGTTGTGATCTCTACCAAGTTCCGAAAAAGCGAAATCCATGAAAACGTTAGGCATTGTAATATAAATATTGCATTGACATATTACTGTCTGGTTATCAAGAACTCATAAACGTAGTGATATGCCGAAATTAACAGGAACTCGTTCGTGGAGATGATTTCGTGGTTCCTCTTTTGGTTTACAGAAGTTGGTTCCATTTTCTAGAAGCGAGAAAGCGGCGACATTATTTTACACCGTAAAATTTGCACCAAACCCAGTTACATTTTAGTTCACCGTCTCGTTTGGTTGTAGATTGACCTTGAAGTTCTCTACGTTTCAAAAAAATTTTTTAGATGTCGTGGAATTCTCAGGAGTGCCTTCATCATGGCGGCGCGCAAGGCGCAAATAGTGAAATCGATGATGACGATGAGGTACGGGAGAACACCTATTTCATTTTATTCTTCTTTTCTTTCAAACTTTTTTGTTCATTTTTGCATTGCAAGCCTGGATACTACGGATTTTTACAGAATTACCCACTCGATCTATTATTCTGGTATTAAACTTATAGCTAGTGAAATTTTTTATACAAAAAAAGTCGAAACGTGGACACATAGCTTTTCATATCTACAGGTTTTATAAGTGATTAGGAGAGGCTTGAGTGTGGTAGAGGGAGGGGGTGAAAGTGGTGGAGGCTAGGGGATTTGCATTAAAATTCATATCATTCTCTACAATAAACGTTTAAGAAGTTAGCAGAATACCGTCAGTAAAGTTAGGAAACATGAATTCTTCTGCTCACATGGGGATTACAGTAACCTGAGTTGGATTGTCCTAATTCAGTCAAGAAATGCCCTGTATTGTATGAACATAGTTTTTAGAACTCCAAATCACCAGAACACATCGGATAAAAGCTAAGACCTTTCGCCGTTGATCAATCTCTGAGGGATGCGCTATGCATTTCACTTCATTAAGTATCGCTGGAGGTGATTAAATGAATATAGCCTATGCAATGATTCGCGATGGCCTATCGAAGTATCGAGCCAGTGCTGCTGTCATCCCAGACAAGTCTGGTACCAATTTGCCAACCGCGGGAGATGGAGGGTTTGGTGGGGTGTGGGCGCGGGGATCGATTCCACGTGTGTGTCGTAGTGGCGCCTCCAACCACTGCGCCACACGCGCCCTACATATCGGATATTCTATCAAATTTGAAAGGTTACCAAATATGTAGCTCAAAAATGCTTTTTTTACATAGAGTACAAATGTTTTTAGTTCTACACTTAGCGGGTTAAATGTGACCTAAGAATTAAAAACTGAGGTCTTCCCTTATTTTTGCACACGTTTTCGGTGCATTCTATGGACTCACTTCTAATAATATCTTTGTTAATCGACAAAGGAGAGGATGCGGCTGTAGATCGTTAAGTGCGGAGGATGTGATTGTTTGCCCACATTCCTCAAATCCACGCAAAGCTGAACAATCACTACGGACAGACAGCGTAAATACTCGGAGAAGTACAAAAGCGCCAGAGCACATATATCACCGTATTGGGTGAGAAACATGAGATCCGTTAGAATTGTTATTGTAGTCGAAAAGCCCTAACAATCACGAGGAAAGAAACAAGAAACACTCAAATTGCTAGGTTGCTCAGAGAAATCAGAGAATGCAGAGAGTCTTGGCTAGAGAGGCCTTGTAATATACATGTGGTCATTGGTCGTATTTAAGCAAATCGAGCCCTCCAATTCTTCGAAGTGGAAAAATTAGTGCAAGATTTATCTGGGAGAACAAAAAAGCTGACTTCATACGTTGTCAGTTTCACTGAAGTAAGCAAAACGCGCATTCAGTTACTTCCACTATGTCACAAATGGAGTTGAATACACGCCGCTTTCTTAAATGTTCGATCATCACCGAAAGTGTTATAGACTTGATCAAAAAAGTTAATTTCTTTCGTTTCGTCGCTCTAAGATATATTTAGAAATTAGAGAAGGGTTTCGTTATCTAGGAATAAAAGCAGAGCGACACAGAAAGGCGTGTAGCGCAGGAGGTTGAATAATTTCATCACATGGCTAAAGTTAACACATGTAAATAAGCGGGCATTTAACATTGGTTTTAATATTAATTTTTAGTATTTTGTTAATATTTATTAATAAATTATTTATTATTATTTATTATTTAATAATATTTAATACAATTAATATTTGTCGATCGATTGATCCCATCTATTGGTCTGGATTTAGTGGAAAATCTCTCTTAAAACTTAACGCTTCAGCATCCAAACTGGCCGAATCATTTTACAAGTCACCAAAATACCACCTTTTCGTTCAATTTTTTATTTTCACGAAAAAAATGAAACTTTACTCGTGGAGTATTATCGGTAAGCCTGGGCGGGTTTCGTTATGTTTAGAAAGTTATCATGTTATCATGATTTCAACCGATAAGTTGAAATTGATGGAAAACGCCAATTTCAATAACGGCACCGCATTTAAATGGCATTTAAGAACTCTGGTTTCTGCCTCGATAGAAGCCAACCATTATGTTATTTAATAGTCTTCCGTATTGCTTTTATATATATGTATATACATTTGTATTCATATTAATGTTTATAAATCGCCATGTATGACAGAGTGGACAGAACTGACCTGCAATGTGAAGAGGGTCCTCGGTTCGAAGCCTCACCCCGGTCTAACGAATCCTATTATCCCTTCAGTGTCGAGAAATTAATGCCAGGTTTTTTAAGAAGTCAAAAAATAGTGTCTTGATGCAAAGTCTAGGCTAAATACATATTCAACCACGTTAATGTTTAGTGGAGTCCATTGTATGACACAAAAGATGGATCAACGCCGGACATTTTATCAGTTCACCCTTATTCTCCTAGTAGTAGTACTAACTCCACAAAAACTCTACAGTCTGACGAAGTTTTTAGACATGCATGAATCTAGCACTTAAACGAACTGGAAATTCTCCACCTGGTTTTCTATCGGAAAAAATTGGCACCACGACATTAAGAGATGATTTTCCCATCAACTATAAAAATTCCCTATCAAATGAAATAAAAATCTAATTAGTAATCCGGTAAAATCTCTTACTAGAAATAGTCGCTCATTGGTGGGAAAGAGGTAAGCTTAATTCAAAACTTAGTGCTTCCTGAGTTTCCTGTATTAACTGGCGCTGGTTGTGCTTAGTTTTCACACAACAATTTCTAACGGCAGTGTTAAAAGAATCAAGTTTAACCAAGATAAAAGTTTTTATATTCCAAACAACGAACAGTTACCGTTCAATATAACTTAGTTAGGAATAATGTCTTAATTTAGGCACGAAAGGTCGCAGAACGTGAGCGTAAAAAGGAGGCCGTACGGAAGAGGCTCGAGGAAGCCAGTAGAGCCAAGAAGGCCAAGAAAGGTTTCTTGACACCAGAAAGAAAGAAGAAACTCAGGGTTAGTAGTGTATCTTGTTAATACTCTCCTTGATCGACGCTTTGTCGGTTACGCGCATTTTTAAAGTATCCGGAAGAGTACTGAAAAAATAGCCTTGGAATATATCGATGACAAAACTGGGTCACAAGGAAATTCTCCAAACTTGTCAAATAAAACTGCAAGCAACCTTTTCAGAGATAGATTAGCTATTCACAGTTAGAGGGAAAGTTTCAAAGTTGATAGGAATGCATAGGATTCAGAGTATCCAAGTATTACAGAAACTTTTGATGATGAAAGCCGCTGAAGATCTTAAGCAACAGCAAATGCTGAAGGAGCAAGAAAGACAGCGTGTTCTACAAGAACGTATTATACCCCTTCCTGACCTTGACGAGTGCGGTAAGGAGTAACGGGTTTCTTTAGAAATGTCACAGTTCGTTTCAAACACCAGTAGTTTTCAGACGATCTTGAGGAGGTGTATAGTCAAATGCGCGAACGTCTTATGGTTCTGGAAAGCGAGAACTATGACATCTCATATACCGTACGACAAAAGGATTTTGAGATCAATGAGCTCACCATCGCCGTAAATGATCTTCGTGGAAAATTGTAAGTATAGCCCCAGTTAGCAGCAGATTCCTGTTTTCTTAAGGTATCTGGAGGCTAGTGATAAGCTTCAAATGTTCATCTATTATGTGATAGACATCCATTTTTGCTTTATAGCTGAGTTAAAAATCTTTGCGGATATTTTATTGCAGTGAAGTGCCCCAAAAAAAAGTCATATTACTTCACTGAGGCTGCGCGTATTTATGAGTTTCCATTCATGGTTAAGTACAGGGAAACGCAGAACAAAACTTCTACTCAACTGAATGAATCTGATTTCAGTGTGAAGCCTACTTTGAAGAAAGTCTCAAAGACTGAGGACAAATTTGATAAACTGAAAAAGAAAGAAGCAGCTAAGGTCGATTTCCGTTCAACATTGAAGACTATCGACAAAAATCAGTTTGCAATGGAAGAGGTGAGGAAAAAATTAAGTGATATTTTCTAAGCAACTGAACAACTCCTTCTGCTTCATCTGCTTTCGATTGCCGCAAGCGTTTCTGAATTATCAGTGGACAATCTCGCCTCCTAGATAGCGAAGTGACGAGTGATTGCTGATGGCATTGGTCGATAGAACTAGCTGAGAGACAGTTGAAACGAGGGACGCGCACGATGTAGTGGTGAACGTGTTAGCCCCAGGCGAGGATAATAGCGCGTTCGTTTCCCACCTCAGACACCTATGGTCCGGAGTTTTGTAAATATCTCAGTATCATTGTGGTCGTTTAGCAAAGTGTTGCTTTATGAGAAATTGCGAAGGTCCTGCATTTTCGGCTTGGCAAAAGTCTAATAGCTACTATGATGGCATATATCCATGGAAACAAAACATTAAATGGAGTGGGAGCTAACGACTTTTGGGAGAACCTGCTCACGGCGTTTTAAACAGAAATTGATGACTGACTACCGTTTTCTAATGTAAAGCATTTTGTTTTTCAGGAAAGCAAAGAGAAGTCTAAGGCTGACTGGGCAAAGTAGAATTATTTCCATGCTCCTTGGTATATATTTCAACGACGATTGTGCAATGTATTATTTTACGCTACCAATAAAATCGTATTAACAAAGATCAGGAGTGACTACCACAATTCTAAGTCGGATAAATCTTTTTTTGTCCTTGGTCTAAAATTATTAACCAACTCAACTACTCAATTATTTAAATACAAATGGAAAATATCAGTTGCAGAAAGTTGTCTGGCCCCTAGTAAGAAAACATGCCGGCCTTTTCACTTTGCTCTTCGACGTCCATCCAAGCAGTTTTATATGTAGATCCAACGTGGAGAAATCAATAAAGAGAAACAAAGATAAATATGAAATACCGATGTGAACGTAGCTATAAAAAGTTCTCGTTTAGATGGAATAAGTTTTTCGGACATTTCTGTAAAGCTAGTCTTTAAAGCGCACTGCTAGGAGTTTCATTTTAGTAGCATATCAAAAAGTGGTAGGAAATTCTTAGTAACGACTTTCTAGACGGACCACTATTAGTAGGAAAGTGTCAAACAAAGTTGAGTAATGAGTTGGTGTCATCTGTATGACTTGGTCTATTTGTCGATGACTCACCACTTGTGTTTCATGCGCCGATTCGTTGTGAGATGGGCATGGACAATACAGGTTTCATCCAATAGCACAAATGGGTTTCTGTACAGCAAAAAAAACTTGTGGAATCATAACTTTTGTAACACCGTATTAAAAAAATTGAAATAGGGTGAAGATAATTATAAAGTCCACACAATGTTTTCTTGATGAGCAAACAAGAGGTTATTATTATAAAATAAAGAAGGATAAAGCTCTCGGCATTGATCAATCCCTAAGGGATGCGCCATGCACTCGACTTAATTAAGCATCGTTGGGAGGTGATTGAATGCATATCTGGCCTTTACAATGACTCACGGTGGCCTACAGATGTATCGAGCCAGTGTTGCGATCTTCCCAAACCAGTCTGTTGCCAATTTGCGAACCCCAGAGGGATGGAAGGCTTGGTGGGCAATGGGTGCGTGGGTCAATTACACGTGTGTGTTGCACTGCGCCTCCGACAACTGCTTCACACTTTCCCGTTATTATTATAGCATTTATTAATACACAATAGCTGACATTTAGGTGGTTTCGCCTTCTTCAGAGCGCGGAAGAGTCAAGCTAACATGTGAATCACTTGGTCAAGTACTTTCATAACCTCAGCAGATAAAACTTAGTACATAAATTTTTTATCCTAAAGTAAACAGATTTCCTTAAATGATCAATGTTTTGTTGTTTCCAAGCCACCCAATTATTGGAAAGTAGCTCCATAGAGTCTTATATGGGCCAGGCATCTGCCTTGGCAAAAAGGAATCCCGAAACCTAGGGTGGAAAATTGCCATTTCGAACGACTAGGAAAAGTAGGTTCTCAGGATTGGTTTAGAGGAAAGACGACGCTCCCAAATGATAAAGTCTAGTAAAAATAAGGTCCTGTTTATCCTGGCCTCTATTTCTAGAATGTTGCTGAACAAGACACGGTTTAAAGAAATTACCTGCAGTGATTGAAATACCACCGGGCGCTCTAGGACGCCAGATAGTACGTAATGGACTGTTTGACGGCCAATGCGAAACGCAAAACTGCATCGTATGCCCTAACGGTGAAGACGACGATTGCGTGCGCTTGGGTGTGGTAAACCTAATCTCTTGTGAACATGTTGTGCCGAATACATTGGCGGAAAGGGTAGGCCAGTCTGAGTTCGTATATAACAGCGCAAAATAGTCCATATAAACTCACCAACAATGATGCTGTGTGAAAGAGATTGTATAATAGTCTAGATATGAAGGCTCCTACGGTAGTACAGGGTAGCTGCTTACACAGACAGAAGTGGTGCAGACATGATTCTTTCCTTCCTATCGTTGGTCGAGTTGTCAGTGAAATACGAGTGCCTTGAAATTTAAGTAATCGTTGTTCACGTGTTACACAAATCGAATCACGTTAAACGACCTTGTAAAGTTGATCTGCTCAGATCCTCGTCTGACCCATATGAGTTCTGAGAAGGTGATCCTGTGTAGTTTCAGGTTTTCATCGAACTCTTGTTGCGTTTCATTTTAGGTTTTTTCATAGCAAGGCAGGGTCGGTATCCTAAGTGGCAAGTGATATATGGTTACATTTGTTAACCTTCAGAAACCAGAAGTCTAGATCCTCTTTGTTCTAATGAGTGTCGTCCGAACGATTTAAATGTTATGAAATCGGGAGACGTGCAACCTAATGGCTTCTAGTGTAGCTATGCTAAATGCTACAATAATAAATGAACTGAAGTGGAAGAAACTTTTTACTTTGTTCCAGAGACAATGTCGTTACTATCTTAACCGTTTTATTTACTGCCTACTCTTTTTGATGGCAGGATATATTGCGAAATATAACTTAAATGATGCTGAGATATTTGCAAAACTCCGGACCGCAGGTGTCTGCGGTGTGGAACGAACGCGAGAGTAAATAACACGGTTAAGATTGTGATTATAACTAAAGCCTCAGCTTAACTGGGTTCAATGCGGATTTGAGCTCTCCAGATCAATCCCGTTGATGGGTGAATGCTGATGACTGTGATCGATAGATAGCTAGCTGAGAGACAGGTGAAACGAAAGAGCCGCATGGTGTGGTGGTGAACGCGTTACACCCCGGAAAGGACGATAGCGCGTTCGTTCCCCACTGCATACACATGCGGGGCGGAGTTTTGCAAATATCTCAGTATCATTGAAGCTATATCTCAGCATCGTTGTGATTATACTTGATGAGAATTTTCCATCGTTACATACGCTGTCTTTACTATTCCGAGAGGATTCATATTCACTGCAATTAGAAGTTAACAGGGTTCAACGATAGTGTCCTCTTTTCAAATGTCTTTTCATTACATGGCAAAATTGGATGTGAGAACTTTTTGCGCCTTGCGGCTCAGATAGTTGTTCAGCACACTTTTCTCGTAATGTGGGACCTTCTTGCTTGCCAATGCTTAGAGTTAGCATATTTTCGACTCTACATTAGAAGAAGTTCCTTCATGGATTACAGGGCTACAGCCACACTGCCACAACTCTGCTTTTTTCTCTTGCTGCACTTCGTTTTAATAAAAGTTCTTGTAGTAACTCCCACGTCCGACTTTCTATTAACCTCGGCAATGATTGAACAATTCTTTCTACTTCTGTTCAGCAAACACAAGGTGCTATTTTATTTCTTTATTTACGTACAAGCTGACGTTTCGGCGGATTTCGCCATCCTCAGAGCCTGGAAAGATCAAATTGACAGCAATCTATTCGGCAAAACACCTCTAAAACCAAACAGAAAACGAGAAAACGCTAAACCAAGATTTAAAACAGATTTCAATAACACAGCTCCGCACACCGCTTTCTATGGGTCTTCCACTGAGTATGTGGCGTGAAGATCAACCGCACAGAATTCACATGGAAGCGTAATGTGCCCCTCCCATCAGAATAACAGGTTTATATACTGCCCTATATCACGCATGATAATGAGGCATTCTTCCCTGCGGTTTATTTTCGGATTTCTGGAATTAATCCAGGACCCCTCGAGAGTTTTGCGCGTTTGTGTTCTTTATTCTTGCGCAAGGATCGTGACACGTACTTTAAAGTCCTCCCCGTTATGTCACTGAGTCCTATGCGTGCCTAGCGCTGTATTTGGTTTATGTTTGCCGGCTAGGTGCTCCTTTATGCGGACACAGAGGGGTCTGCCCGTTTCGCCAATGTATTCGTCTCCGCACGCCTTGCAGGAGATCAGATAACCTATACCCAAGCTCATGCAGTCACCGTCTTTACCATTAGGGCAAATTATGCAATTTTGTGTTGCACATAGATGGTCGTATAGGCGGTTACGAACTAGCTGGCGCCTAAGATTACTCGGTGTTATTTCAACTACTTTTACCGAATTTTCTAAACCCGTCCATCTTAAGCAGCATTTTATAGCTGCACTTACATCATTTGAGATGAAGGATAGGATACTCACGCGATGGAAGACCCATAGAAAGCGGTGAGTGTGCGGAGCTGTGTTAAATGTGATTGAAATCTTGGTTTAGCGTTTTCTCTGTTTGGTTATGGAGGTGTTTGGCCCAATAGATTGCTGTCAACTTGACCTTTCCAGGCTCTGAGGAAGGCGAAATCCGCCGAAACGTCAGCACGTAAGTAAAAAAATAAGATAGCACCTCGTGTTTGCTGAACAGGGGTAGAAAAAAGTTCTTGGTTTCCACAGTAAGGTAATTCCCGTAAAATTCGTCTGGTAATTTTTTTGGGGTAGGATGACTGCCCGTAACGTTTTCCTCTGTTCAGGAATCTTTCCAATGTATGTGGTTGGCGAATCTAATAGTTTGTGGTTTAGAGGTCGAAGGAAATCCGTTGTAATGTCATGTTCTCTTAGAGGCATACCTGTTTTCATGTTCCTAACTGAAACGCGGAGTTTGTAAAGAAGAATCTTGGCGATTTTCTTCCGGGGATTTTGGTTCGTATTCTTGTTGAGCAAACACATCGTGTTTGCTCAACAAGAATACGAAGAATTACCTGATCAATGCCGAAAGTAGTAGAAAGTCGGTTGTGGGAGTAATTGAATGCATTTCTGGCCTAAATGATGACTTCCGAATGAAGACAGATATGCCAAGTCAGCACCGCTCTCCTTTCTGTCAAGCATGATACCAATTTGCTGACTCAAGATGTATGAACTGGGGCGTTTAGTCGAACCATTTATCTACTGATCTAATGTGTATTGCAGGGCACCACTATGCTACACACGACCCTTGGCCACTATCAGTTCGATAACATAGAGTAAGGTGCTTGGTAACCACCCTTTCATGCTTACGGCTCTTTTAGACTTTGTTTTTCCGCACTGCTTCAGGTAGTTAACTCCGCATGTATCATTGTAAGTGATCTTGATAGGTGACATAATTTTCTTTATTCTCTAGCTCGTCGCTATTAGCTATGAGGTTCGAACTTTTCGTCTAAAGAAATGAAATCTTCATTGCACAGCTTCT